GATACAGATACAGATACAGATATAGATGTCCTGATGTTCTCAGTTAAAATATTCCTAATCTTTACACAAGCAACAGCCATTAAACCCAATCAACAAATCAATGTATGATTAGGTAATTATTTTCTCAGTAGCTAAATGGACAGCACAGTAATCCAGTGTTTTAACAACAGCAGCATTTTTATGACCTAATACAAAATCCAAGATGGTATGTGACCTTCTTTCCAGCTATATAATCCTTTAAACTTTTATGCAGATCAGTGATACTTTCTGAGTGTTCCACAGAAACAATGAAAAAGATTAATCTTGTTGCTCCCAAATCCAGAATAATATGCTACTGAATTAACCTTTATTTTCAAAGCCATGTAATGTTAAAAACACTTCAAAGTCCTATGTCTGTAGTACGATGTTCCATATTAAGTGGTTTGATGGTAGAATTAATGCAAAACATCAGTGAGTTCTTTTTTCAAGTATCTATGCTTTGAATCAGAGCTTTAATCTGCTTTTTCATTCCAGTAATACCATTATAATTGTAATGCCTTTCAACACATAACAGCTTGTTACATACTAATCATGTTGGCAGCAAGGACACATGCTCTATTATGATGCAGAACTGCTAGAAATCTATTTCTGTTATTAATTAACAGTGATTCCTGTTGTTCCTATGAAAACTTTAAGATTGTGCAGTGCTTCAGATCTGATTCCAAAAACATGCTTCAGAGTGCATGTGGATATGAATATGGCACTTATCTGCAACTTAAAAGCAGCCAAGTCAGAAGTGGCAGAAAGCAACTATTTATTGGAGGCTTGGTGAACTGGTGAAGTGACCTTATATTGATTACATAGCAAAAGGAAAGTTCTTTCCTGTTTTAATTGCACTTCCCTCAGTCATAAGAAATCATTTAGATAAGAATGAGGGAGTGTGCTTATACTGGTGGTGGTACCATGTGAATTGTGTTCTTCTTTGATTATGACATTGAAGCAGCATGATATTGGCAGAAGTTTACATTCTGTGGTTGCAGCAGGATCTCCATGGCATGGAGTAGAAGCATTTTTTGGGGGGGGGGGTGAAATGTATAATATAAAAATGAATTTTATGAATTTGATAAGATCCACAAAGTAAACGTGAATTCCAAAATATCCAAAGGTTCTTTTGGTTCATCTACAAAAACAAAAATGAAAACAACCCCTAAGCTGAGTAAGACTTGGAAAAGGCTAAGAGGAAATTGCAGGGCTATTCACATCCACCCAGGAACTTCTCTTCAAAAAGTACACTGCATCATTATCATCTTAGATCAGTAAGTCAGAATTCTCAAAGGTGGTGCCACCCATATATCTTAATCTGACTAAAAATGTTGGGAGTTGTACTCAAATACATCTGGAGAGTTCTGGTTTGGGGAAGATAGCACTAGACAATGAAGCAGCAAAATATCTCCATTCTCACAGGCTTTGGCTGAATTTACAGAGCACCTAGCCACTCTTGGCTGATCTCAATAAGTTAAACACAATTGGACCTGATTAGCATTTCAGTAGGAAACTACCATGAATACCAATCTAAGAAGTAAAATCATAGTCATAATCATAATAATGGAATAAGACAATGGCAAACCAGCTCCATAATGTTGCTAGGAAATATATGTGAACGTGTACATGAAGTCGCTAGGAGTCAAGCTTAATTTGCAGATTTTACCTTATTAATGAAATAATTTAAATAATTTTATTAAACCCTGAGGAAATAAAGGGGTCTTGAGCAAAACCTCTGGCTTGTGTTTCTAGGCAGATATCTGCATTCCATACAGCTCTGAAAAAAAAATCATGGGGCTTTGTAGAAACAGTACAAGAAAGGCAATCCTTCAAGTAATCTTTCAAAAAGCTGTTTAAAGGCTCAAAAAGGGACAAGAAGCTACTGTAAAAAACAAAGAATGACTTCATAGGCATAACATGACCAACTTAGCCAGTTAACAGTCTTGCAGCTCTGTTCAGGACTTGCTAGAACGGTTCTTGACTGACTGTAAAAGCAGCCCACTTGGAAAGCGTTTCAGGAAGAGCTTGCTGGAAAGGCTTACAGTTAGCCTTCCATTCTTCTACATGGAATATACATATATACATACATGCCTATTACGTAGAATATACATACATATATACATACATACATACATACATTGGAAGAGCTGAAACTCCTAACTCTCACATACAGATTGCTAAGCAAGTTGGCATGGTTGGTTGTACATGCAAAAGCTGAGACAGGAATGCTGCCATTTGTTCCACTGCAGAGTTCTGATATATCCTAGAAACCAATTTATAACTTCACATGCTGCTTAGGAAGCCTAAGTAACCATGTCACTTTCCACATGTCTAGGGGAAAATGCACACAGCCTCCAGAGAACGTCTGCATGCAGTCGCCTGTATCTTATTGCCCACTTGCAGCTGAAACTGTGTTGATGCACTTGGAGGAGGTGACCTGAAATAATGCGTTCAACACTGGCAAATGTGTAGGTCCCAATGGTTCTGTGGGTTTCCTGTGGGCCTGCCACCTTTCACCTGATCCTGACCTGTTCTCTTGTCCTTCAATTCCCTTTTGGTTGTGAGGGAGACTGGTACCCTAGTTTCCACAGCCACTTTCTTCTTTTTTCAAATGAGTTGGTTGACTGGTCAAACGTCCATCATAGGTCTGACAGTCCCTTTTCTGAAAAACAAAAAATCAGTGTTGCTTTTTTCAGATGCAGCATCTGCCTTTCTGCAATGCTCCAAGGAATTAAATAATTTATGAAACCTCCTAGATGGTCCTAAATTGGTTTGGATCACTTTAGAGGGGTACTGCTTGGATTCTGTTTTGTGGTGCCACAGATATTTAAGATTTAATACTTAGATGAATTCTCAGCCTCCAAATAATTCAGGCAGCAAAGAAAGCCTTTCAGTCTCTGGGGCTTTCCTGTGTATTTGCTGTATGATTCTATCTTCTATCTTCCTGTGCCCCTTCAAATGCCACAGTAAGCAGACTCCTGAAGAAGCATGACTTGCTGAAGAAGCATGATTTAGTCTTTCTGTCCCACATTAGCTATATACACTTAATCATATTTTCACAGCTCATTTTTTTCTTTCTCTTTTGTGTAATATATCAAGAAAACTCCTTGTGGCATTCATGTTGCATTCTATAAAATATGCCTGAAATCAGCATTTCTCAGACCTGCTTTTGGTCAATAAAAAGCCTACTTTAAAGCAGTCCCACAGCAGTTTTCAGAATTTCAGTGAAACAAATCTGGCCCTTCTTGTGCCGCTTATGTTTATTTAAAAAAAAATTCCACAGGGCAGATTTAGATTCAGAACAGGAGAAGGAGAAGGAGAAGGAGAAGGAGAAACTTCTATTGTATTTAAAACCAGTGGTATCCGT